TCACTATACATTAGGACGGGATGGAACTGGGATGAAAACTGAGTCAAAACCAATCCTTGTGCAATCTTTTTTGGGTGCAAAACCCGGAGATAAGTAATCAGGAGACGAAATGCTATACACTTTTCAGTAGTGGTGGGACATGAAAATGAAGAGTTGAGAAATAATGCATGTTCAGATCGAGACCATCTTCAGTATGTCCAATACCTATTTTCCTAGGCATATCAGATCAAGTATGTGTTTGCATGATTTTGCTTGATGCACCTTGGAGGATAGTGACCTTTCATTCATTGCTTAAGCCTTTTCCTGATCTTACGGAGAACACATTGAGATACAACTGCACTGCACAATGCAGGGTGCAAGGAGATGATAGATCTCTATGAAATCCTTCTGAAGGCTCCTGGTGTTTTCGGAGCCCGCTTCAGCGGTGCTGGATTTAGAGGCTGTTGCCTTGCCCTGGTCGATGCTGATCTTACAGATAAAGCCGCTGCCTTCGTCAAGCAGGAATACCAAAAGGTTCAACCTGAGTTGGCCAGCAAGCTCCCGCAAGACAGGCTTGTGTTGATATGCGAACCAGGAGACTCTGCTCATGTCATATAGCAAGTAGAATTCAGCCACGGAAGGTACGTCGATAACCTGCTATTGCAATTCTTATTCATTGTACAACTCGTCATTCTATTGTAATATCGCGTGCACATTCGATTTATTGTTCCATTCGACATCTTCTGTCATAAAAGTCTTTGCATTTGTTGACACTTGATATGTGAATGCTTTGTCGTTGCATCTTGTACTGGCAAAACAATTGGCTCATCTGCGGTAAAAGTCCCTCATCTTTCATTCTTGTCACAGATAAGGTAGTATATATGATCTTGTCTTGAGGGATGTCATTTCTTCTTTTTGCCTAAATGTCCAGCCCATTCAGAAACTTTAAGACGATCCAACAATTTTGTTGTTGGTCATCGAGGCTTCCACTTTGATGCTTACTGATTCCACTCTAATAGCTCATAGTAATTAGCTAAGAATTTTTTTTTTAGAAAAATCTATATTTAAAATATTATTAATTTGGTGATAAATTTACTAAAGGTTAGGGGATCTGAAGCATCATATAATAAGTTAATATCAGTTCAGCTGAAGAAAACTTAGACTATTATTGATAGGAAAATCTTGATCTCAATCTTCACAGGTTGAGTCAAGACATGTTTTAGAAAAGTGAGATACGAGCAAATTTCCTGCCGAGTCACAAGTTTAATTAACCGATGAGGCTGACCGACTTGGAAGCCGTCGTCTTGTCTCTATTCGAGTGACGAGAGAGAGAGAGAGAGAGAGAGAGAGATAGAGAGAGGATCCTAACTGTAGGGCAGGAACAACAGACGTGGTCAGGAATCCACACAGACGGAGTCGACGTTGAGAGTCGTTGGCAGGTGGGAAGTCGTCCTTTGGGCGATGAAAGGTGGCCAAATAGGATCATGCACACGAGTAATCAATGTCATATTGCTTTAAGATACGGGATCCTTGAACCTCAAATGATGATGCTTCTTTTCGATGGTTCGACACTTTGCTCCGACTTTGATCTTGAAGCGTGTGCTCGAATTTGATCACAAAGTATTTATTATTATTTGATGATATCATGGATATGATGGAATATGCTTGTCTGACTTCGATCTTTGCGAGGGAGTCAGTTTCGATATGAAATCTATCAACACTTGAACCTTAATGGTAACCCTCAATACGTATCGAACGTTGAACTCATCTAGCTCTATCGACCACCTCAACATCTATCTCAAGATATCAATTTGCGAAAGGATCTACCTGAGTGGTTGGTTGGTGATCACTTGTATGGGATATGCTTGAAAATATGGATGAAGCTTCATTGTCACTAATACTAGTGCAAAAGCCATCCACTCGATGGGAGGATATCGCTCCTTGGTTCCACTTAGTATATGGTTGACATAATATATGAGTTTTTGGACTCTCGAGTCATCCTGCATCAATATCGAGTTAACAATCTACTTGGTGGTAACGAGATAGAGGCCGAGAGCCTCACCCGAAATGGAGGAGAGATATGACAATTGGGCGAAGTGGTACTTCAGCTTCTCAAATGCCTCCTAGCACTTCCCAATCTACAGGAAACCTTTTGGATTTTTCAAGGCCTAAAAGAAGGGCAGACACTTATCTCTCGACTAGGATAAAAACCAGCTAAGTGATTCACCACATTAACAACTGCACTTCCTTCACCGATCAAAGTAGATGTATCTCCAATATAGCATGGACCTTTTTGAGGTTTGTGACACAAAGCAGATGCTGAGGTGGTTGGTATAGCTGAGCGAGTTTGACATTTGATATGTATGTTAAGGCTCAGGCATTGGCAGATTTCATATCGAAGCTCACCCCCTCGCTCGAGGTTGAAGTCGACGAGCACACCCTCTCGGCATGGACCCTGTTCGTAAATGGTTCCACCACATCGGAAAGGGATGGTGCTGAGCTTGTCCTGAAATGTCCGAATAAGCAAGTGTATAAACAAGCTCTATAGTTCGAGTTTAAAATATCAAATAATGTGGCTAAATATGAAACGCTTCTCTTAGGCTCTGACTCACTCGAGAGCTCTTGGTGCAAGACTTGACGGTGTGTTTAGCGACACATAACTAATCTTGAGCCAAGTTGACATGAGCTATGAAGCCCGAGATGGGACCATGATGAAGTACCTTGTTGAGGTGCGGTTGTTAGCCCTAAGCTTCTCTTAAATCTGCATCTGTGGGTACCTCACATAGAAAATGCCCAAGCTAACGCACTAGCTAGGATAGCCTCCACCCAAGCTTTGAGGGAAGTTTGGCTGATTGTTAAGACATTATCGACTCGAACCATTGAAGGGCACGACATAGCCATAGTCAAGGAAGAATCGAGCTGCATTGGCGAGATCTTATGTTACAAAAGAGACGAGGCACTCCCTATTGATTGCACGACGTCTCGAAGGGTCAAGCATCATTAAGCATGGTATTACATAATTAATGATCGTCTGTACTGTAGGTCCTTCAACTAATCCTTCCACAGGTGTTTGACACCACAAGACGTTGAGAAGGTGCTCATCGAGGTGTACAAAGGTATTTACATAAAACACCTAAATGGACGAACCATTGCATTCGAGGTGCTTTGACAAGGGTTCTACTAACTGACATTGCGTAAGGACACAATCACCTATATCCGGAGGTGCCACTAGTGCCAAAAGTTTGCTTGGGTACTACACCAGCCAGCGGTCCCTCTGAGCTCTCCTTCTAGCATCAAAATATTATTGATGTCTTAATTAGCCTAACATGGTTCGGACCCATATGTGTAGGGTTGTCTAAAGTGCCTCCGAAATAGAAACATAAAAGCTCCCGAAGCACACCTTTGAGGAAGACAAATGATAGGGAATCTACTGTCGGTTGACACATAGTTGCCACATGAGATCCAAGTCACCCTCCACCTATCTGCTTATGTGGATAAAGATTTAAAGCAGATAAATTCAAGCTTCCTTCTTGCCCATTATGATAACAAAGACAATCACAAACTTTCTTATCTTCCTTTATGATAAGAAAGACAATCACAAACTTCCTTCTCATCCTTTAAAAACATATACCCAATAAGTGGGACAGCTCTCTCTTCTTTTTGAAATTACTCTAAACCCACATTTAGGGACCTCATATTACTAACTCGAGCTGACCAAGATGTCAATGATATTTTTTGATAATATTTTAGCGATAGAATGAGAGCCCAATGTCAAAGGAATGTCCACCTAATAACCCTCTCAACAAACGCTCAAACGAGGACGCCCTTTTCCCGATCCACAGTACTTTCACTCAAGGGGGGCAATAACTACCTGTTCCGTATATGAATGCATTTACCTCGGCTCAAATGCCAATGCGATCTTGGCATTTGTTTAATGACTCGAGCCTCTCACCCTCGGAAGCGACGATGATGGAAAGTCCATCATCCTCAGCTAGCTCTTTAAGCACATTAACGATGCTCATAACGATGACATTACCGAAAGCAATGGCTACACCTCCCCAGACCACCACATCCTCGAGCTGAATAACTTCACGTGCTCACAACAGTGACATCACCGAAAGCGATGGCTACGACTCTTGGAGCACCACGTCCTCAAACTTCACCGTTGGAGGTGGCGCCAGCGACCACTTGGCCTTCCACCTCCATCCCTTTCATCCTTGTCTTCACCAATCTCTCGTACAACATGAAAGGCCTTTTACACCCCATGCTCACCGTGAAAGGGACCTTGATGTTCTCCACGGAATTCCGACTACCGCGGTCGAAAAAGCCCGACCCACATGAAGAGAAATTCGCCATGACGGAGGGAGAACCCAAAATTCGCCACAATGGAAGACTTGAAACTCACTACGACGAGAGAACCCGAAATTCACCACAACGGAGGGAAGCCTTGAGGCTTGCCATGGTGGGAGGACTTAGAAGATAAGGAAGTGTGTAATTGTCTTCCTTATCATAATGGACGAAAAAAAACTTATGTTTCTTTACTTTGAACCTTCAATCTTCATCCATGTAAGCGAATGAGAGGAGGGTAACTTAGATCTCATATGATAACCACGTGTTGATTGATGATAGATTCTCTATTATTTATTCCCTCAAAAGGTGTGCTTTGGAAGTTTTATGTTTCCACCTCGGAGGTATATCAAACAATTCTGCATATACAAATCCAAACCCCATTAGACTTACTAAAATATCAACGATATTTTCTTCTAACAAGCTTAATTACTCGGATACATTGAGGCCTGCAGCTACACGTTCTAATGCTAATCTAAGTTGACCCCAAAGTCAATCAAGATTTACTAATTAAAACCTTCAATTATTAATTGGTGTAAGTGGTGAAATATCAGACAACCGGAATTCATTAATATTAATGACCAGGATAGATACAGATCAATGGCCAGTGCAAGCTGTTGGTGAGATTTATGTAAATTATGTATCAACGTATTATTGATTTAATGTATATTTTATTATATCTATCGCTTTAGATACGAATATTTTAATAACTCCAAATCCCGCATAACTTAAAAATGATTTCGTCTCGGTAGATACCAGAATCTAGTGGTCCATAATAAGATGCCAATACCGTGTGCCGTTGACCAGTCCATGGCAACTGTGTCACCAGTTTCAAGGTTGACCGCTGCGCCACGCTGGATTAACTCCGTCTTCTCGCGAGCGCCCACGCTGCTTCTGCTTCACATGTGGTCTCCTCTCGCGGTCAATGCGCAGACATGGAACGAATGATCGGCTCCTCAGCTGCCCTTTCCGATGTCGATGGTCCCTTACATTTATAGCCATCTGCTTGGAATCGACCGAAAGGAGACATGGCCATGGTGGTAGAGGCCTTCGTCTCCGGGCTCCTCAATGCGCTGGGAGACTTGGCCATGGAAGAGGCGGACGCTTTGCTGGGTGTCCCCGGCGAGATCCAGAGGCTGCAGCGCACGCTGCGGACGATACGGCACGTGCTCCGTGACGCCGAGAGGCGGCGGATCGAGGACGAGGCCATCGACGACTGGCTCAGGGAGCTCAAGGACGCCATGTACGACGCCGACGACATCCTCGACGAGTGCCGGGTCCAGGCCGAGAAGAAACCCACGGCGCGGGCGGGAGCTCGCAAGCGCCGCCGCTTTTCCTGGTTCTCCGGCTTCGGCCGGCAAGTGGAGCTCACCCATGAGATCGGTGTCAGAATCAGGGATCTCAACCGGAGGCTGGAGGAGATCTCCGCCAGGAGGACCGCGTTCGATCTCAGGGTGTACTCCGACCGGAAGCCGACTTCTCGAGTCAGTCGCAAGACTTCCCCTGTGCTGGAGTCCGACATCGTCGGCACGGGAATGGAGGAGGACGCCAGGGATCTGGTGGAGCTGCTGACCAAGGAGGACACGAGGAGTAACGTTCTCGCGCTCGCCGTTGTGGGGATAGGCGGCATCGGCAAGACGACGCTGGCTCAGAAGGTGTTCCATGACGACAGGACCAAGGCCAGCTTCCGAAGGAGCATGTGGGTCTGCGTGTCCCAGGAGTTCGTGGAAAGCGACGTCCTGAGAGACATAATCGCCGGCGCCGGCGGAAGCGACGGCGGAGCCAGGAGCAGGGCGCTGCTGGAGCCCGTGGTGGAGAGCCTCCTCCGAGGGAACAAGTTCTTGCTCGTGTTGGACGACGTCTGGAGCGAGTACATCTGGGAGGACTTGCTCCGGAATCCTCTGCAGGGCGGGGCGGCGGGGAGCAGGGTTCTTGTCACCACCAGAAACGAAGGCATCGCTAGGCGGATGAAGGCAGTCCACATCCACAGAATGAAGCTGCTGCCGCTGCACGACGGCTGGTCCCTCCTGTGCAAAAAGGTCGCTCACGGCGACGACGAGGAAAGGGACGCCCGGTCGATTGCGGACATAGGGTTGAAGATAGTGGAGAAGTGCGACGGGCTTCCCCTCGCCATCAAGACCATCGGAGGTGTACTCTGCACCAAGGGGCTCAGCAGAAGGGCATGGGAGCAGGTGCTCCGGAGCGCGGCGTGGTCGCAGACAGGGCTTCCCGAGGGCGTCAAGGGGGCGCTGTACCTGAGCTACGAGGACCTGCCGTCCCAGCTGAAGCAGTGCTTCCTCTACTGCGCCATGTTCCCGGAGGACTACATCCATCTCAGGCAATACCTCATCCAGTTCTGGATCGCAGAGGGGTTTGTGCAAGCAGCAGGAGACCTGACGCCGGAGGCAGCAGGGGAGGAGTACTACAGGGAGCTCATCCGGAGAAGCCTACTGCAACCCCACCCCATGTATCACGACCAGTTCGGGTGCACCATGCACGACCTGCTCCGCTCGCTCGCGCATTTCTTGACGAGGGACGAGAGCTTGTTCGTGAAAGACGTGCAGCAAGGGTGGAAGAGCGCCGCCTCGGCCAAGCTGCGTCGGGTCTCGGTCATAGCCCCGGGAACGCAGCGAATCCAGCCCATCCTCGACGCGATCAAGAAGCAAGAGTCGGTGAGGACGCTGTTGCTGGAGAGGACAAGCGTGAGTGAGACGGATGTGGATGATCACCTGAGGAAGTTGACGCGCTTGAGGGTGCTTCATCTTGCTGACACCAGGATTCTGGGGCTACCGCAACACATCGGAGAGCTGATACATTTGAGGTACTTGGATCTCTCCGACTGTCACATAAGGGAGCTTCCTGAGAGCATAGGGAATCTGGTAAACCTGCAGTATCTGATCCTTAATCGATCACGGATAAGCAACCTCCCCAAGAGCGTGGTCAAACTGCACAACCTGAGGAGCCTCGACCTGGAATGCGTGCCGGTGGAGGGCTTCCCGTCCGGAATCGGGAGGCTGCAACATCTCAACGTGCTTCGAGGGCTGGTGGTGAACACAGGGAGAGCATGGTGCAGCTTGGAAGAGGTAAGTAACCTTCGCAGGCTTCGATGGCTGGCGATATCCAAGCTGGAGAGGGCATGGGCTGCTGCAGAGCCGGGAGAAGCAGCAGCGAAGGGGTTGAGGAATAACCAGGACCTGGAGTGGGTGGAGATGCACTGCTCACCTTGCCGAGCTGACACCGCGCCGCCGAGCTTCGGGTATGCGGAGGAGGAGATGGAGAGAATTGAGAGGGTGTTCGACACGGCTCTTCATCCGCCATCGTCGCTCGATAAGCTCGAGATCCAGCATTTCTTCGGCCGCCGTTACCCTACCTGGTTGACGACTGCAAGCGTCGGGCTGCTCCTTGGTAATCTGAGGCGTCTGGTTCTCGTCGACTGCCGGCTCTGCCCATTGCTTCCGCCGCTGGGGAAGCTCCCCAACCTGGAGTTCCTTCGGATAAGAGGTGCATCTGCGGTTGTAGCCATTGGGTCAGAGTTCTTGGGGTGCGAAGCTGTTGGGGGGAAGCGTCGTTCTTCTTCGCCTGTGTCGTTTCCTAAGCTGACAGAGTTGTGGTTTGATGGGATGATAAACTGGGAAGAATGGCACTGGGGGGTGATCGGAGACGACGAGGTGGCGGTGGCCATGCCTCGCTTGAGCCACCTGCACCTTGTTGATTGTCCCAGGTTGAGAGATCTCCCAGAAGCCTTGAGCTGCCATGCCACAGCCTTAACCAGATTGCAGACTAAAGGTGTTGGTAGTCTGAAGTCGATCTGCGGCTTCTCTTCCATGAAAAGAATGCAAATACACGATGAATCAGGCCTGGAAAGTGTCTCTGATCTCCCTGCACTCGAGTTCTTGGAAGTATCCAACAATAAAATGAGTTATCTGCCTAAGTGGCTGGTGACAGGCCTAGCACAATTCACTGCGCTTCAGAGACTCGACATCGAGGGCAGCAGCCAATTGCTTCGTAGTTGTCTTCAGAATGGCGAGGAGTGGCCCAGGCTCAGCCATGTCCCAATAGTTTACATCCAGGATGACCAACACAAGTACATCTGCTACATCAAGAGTTCATCCACCGCCTACACCAACTTAAAGGAACACAGTGATGGTCATGGCAAAAAGGTCAACGAGGATCAGGAGCAGGACATGGATGATAACCATGGCAATGAAGCAGGAGAAGCAAGACTAGATTCCTTAATGGTATATGACACCTTCTTGCCCCCATCTTACTTCATTCCAGTTTCCTCTTTTCTTCTGTGATCTATGTTTGCTTCTTCACGACCATGCATCAAGTCTTACGTTCACCCTATCTATGCAATATGGCTCTGCCTCTTGTGGCCAATAAAGATTTCGGCTAAACCTTTGTTTGTTTGTGAATTTTAACAGGCACCAATTCCTCAGGATCGGAGAGCAGCAAGAAAACCTCCATGGGCAAATTTGTGCCTATGCTCTGAATGAAGCTGTAGATAACCCTTTCGACCGTACAGATACCCCCAGATCGTTCGAACTCTCCCACAAAGCGATGCATGCACTCTGATGAGAGGGCAAATCTATGCCGTCCCATTGTGACCTCAATCATCAGGCCTCAAGCTAAGCGATGCTTCAATGGGTTTGCACACCTATCAAAGGTTCTGCATAATTATGCAAAAAAGAAGAGTAGCTTGTTAAAGAGGATAGTGCTTGTTGGTACCAACTCCATCAGAATAATAAGTAGTTCAACATTCAAAGCCATGTTTCTGCATGAAGATTTACAACAGATCGTACAAAGGTAATTCTGTGAAGCTCTCATAATTGTAGTTCAACATTCAATTATGTCAATATTTACCTATGAAGGTGTCAATGGCAATTGGTACCATTATGGAAAAACAACAAGGATTTGCGTCGTTCTCTATTTTGCAATATAAAGACAGTAAACCCTCATAAGATGCTCAGTATGTTACTCTATCTTCCATAACACTAACAACATTGTTAAGCATAAAGATACCATTTAAAAGAGAAAATTCTTCTTCCCTTGTCAAAGTGGAAGTGGTATGCCCATCCATGCAACCCAGCCCAATAACTAATCTGAATCTTATGTCAAAATTTTAATGACAAGGCCAGCCACAAGATCACTAATCCTTAGATCATTTTGTTAGCTCATGTGTAATAAAAAACATTTTACATCAATCTAGAGTTTCATTCCAATATCTTGTGGTAACTTTAAATATTTTTTCTTTTGTTTCATGTTGTTAATAACACTCAAGAGAATTTAGATGCCCACAAATGAGGTGATTGCTACTCTCTTTGCTACACGTAATATGTTTGCAAGCGTTTGGTTGACTAGAAGTATACTACTTGAGGAGAAGATATTGCAATGCTTTAAGTAAATCATCTGAGATGCCCAATTAACTATGATATGCTGGCTGCCAAATTTGTTGGTCTCGCTCATCAAAAATTGCTTTTGATCATGTCATTGCTGTAGGAGGAGGCCCATCGGGCCCAGAATGGCCTAGAGAAATGTTCCAGACCCTATGGATACAAATCCTGCTACTCTATTAAACCCTTCTTATCTTCCCTAAAAAGAATTTAATTCGGGAGACGATCTCCTGGATAATGAAGTCATGTAATATTATTTACCCATCTTTTGAAGCGCAGGAAAGATTTCTTGTCAGATGGACTAGGATTGTGAAGGATCTACGTGTATTGATAATCTACTATCTAGATAATTTTGTTTCTCTACAGATTAATCTTATAGAGATTGAAGCAACAAAAAACATTAAAGAAGAAGAAACACAAGCAAGTTGACCAAGAAAACATATGCAAAAGGCAATAAAAAAAAATGAGAATCACAGGCAAAGAGTAGAAGTTCATAAACAGCATACCGTGGAATAATTAGGTAAGTGGACCTCAGAGGGACACATCTCAGATCAAATATTAGTGACCCCAGCTATCCTTTGACAGAATCAGATTCTTCAGTAGCTGCTCCAAATTATCCAGTGAACCCACCACCTATGGACAAAAGCCGGACGACTCAATCTCAAACAAAAGGAGATCTGTCCTATCTTTTGAAATGGAAAGCATGAATTCGAGAGACCACCTTCAGTGTCCAAAGGGTATTGGAACAGATGCGATCCCAGTGCGTCGAGTCAGATGAACCCCACCAGCCAAAATGGAGCAAGAGTGAGATTGCAGCAGATAATCTTGATTGGGCCCATTGTCCATCTCCCCAACTTTTTAGCACAATCCGACAAGAGAGAATGGACCTTTAAAGCAAGTTTAAAGATGACAAAAAAAAAAGAGTTAATGACAATGGATGATTAGCATTATATAAATTGCTTCGCACAACAACTTTACAGGTGCACTCTAACCAAGAATTCGCCTGTGAAAAGTCATTGCTGTTAACAGTAAAATTCCATTTTAGGAGATCATACTATAACAGCAATCAATCATCAAATCTAAAAAGAAACTAGCAACTCATTAATACTACCAGGTCGGAAAAACACACCTTTCAACAGAGAAATACAAACAAATCACCTTAAGTTTTCTTCAAACCATAAAGCACAATAAGCGTCTACGTAGAATACCTTGCTATATTAGTGCTGATTACCATACACAACCAGACCAATGGAAAGGAACCTCGCTAATGGAAACTGGCAAGCATCCTATAAAGTATTCAAGCATCTATACCAGACAAAGCAATCCTGTATGATAAATCCTGAGAGAAGGGCTTGCAGAGAATGAGACATTAGCAATGGAACTTAAGGACAAATTTCAATAGCACCATACATCAAGATCCTCATCATAGTAAGGGATAGCCTATGAAGTTTGAGAATGCTAACAAACAATGCATGAAAAAAGGAGGAAAAAAACTGCAAAAGAAGTAGTCAAAGAACTAACAAGCTCGTGATCATGAGCCACACGAGTCCCCTCGATATCTCAGACTCGCCTACAATCAAGACCATTCCAGCAACAGCCTAACAACTTATAAAAGCAACTAACAAGTAAATCACCACCATCTCCATATCTACAGCCTTCTTTTGAGGACCACAATCCCTTTAACTTATGATAAATGGCCAGCTTCTGTTTTGATACCTCATGAGTCATCACACCAACTGAAAAAGGAAAGATCAGAAGTAGCACTGCAAACCACAAGCACAGTGGGATTCCTCAAGGTGCACAAGAATTTTCCATATTATTCAATGGCTTCATACAGATTACTATTTATTGACAAGCCTTGACTATATATACCAGCTCTTGTATCAGACTAGAGGATGCAGCAGAAAAATGTGAGAAGGGATGGTGCAATGAAGAGAATAGAGTTTGCTTGCCTGCTGCTGCTTGACGATGGCTTTGCCTGAAGATGAAGAGAGTGGAATGCAGCCAAGGATGACTTGCCGGCATAAGCTGGAAGAAGAGTCTCTTCACATGCAAGTTGTCGGCAAGTTTGTCCTTGGCTACACTTGGCTCTCTTCTTCTCATGCAAAGCTCTTGCTTGATTAGGGCTGCTGTCATTGGTGATCAATCATGTTGCAAACCACGGGAACCTAGGTGGCAAGTAACCAGGTTTGTATGACAATGGTAAGTACCTGAACTCAGGTAGGGAAATGATATTGCACCTTGTCTTCATTTTTAATGTAAACAACCAAGAACACAGTAATACCGGAAAGCTCAAGATTATTATGAATACTCATGCATAAGTAACAATTTACAGGCTCCAGAAAAGATTTGTTGAGTATATTTATAATTATATCAACTTTCTACAGGCTACATAAGAAGGTGGAGTAGTGGGAAATAAAGCAAAAACTGTTGGTGATCACACATCCAAAGAGTCAGCACTATTTGCATGATAACAAGGAATTTTTCATACAGTAATATGTATGAAAAACTGGAGTAGAAAAAGAAAGTAAGTAGGGATTCAAGTTCTGGAGTCATCTTGCTAATTCAGGTTTACATGCTTACAAGTTCCATATGGCAGTCCATTCTAGGCCAGTCTGGTACTTCTCAAGTTTGAACACATTAATCTCCACTTAGATCTTCAAGATCTTTTCTGGAAATATATATGGCCCCTATGATGACTAAGAAAGGGGACAATTTGTGGAACATAGAAGATAATTGCATTGACAATGTCTAGCTTTATCTATCAAAAACTAATGCAGGATACAAGGAAATGATTAATTGACACACTTCAGCATCAAGTTGCAATAACCTATTAGGAATTAGTAGTATCTAGCTGAGAATTTGCAAGAGTAACTGATTTGGACTATCAAAATCCTATACTTTTATTGACTATTGGATGTAAGGATGCAAAGGAACCAATCATATTAAGTTTTACTAATCATAGATTCAGATAGCAAGCATTTGTAATAACAAACTACACATTGCATGTATAACTTGTGATGCCTGATATGAACAACTGAATGTAACATCTTGAATGTTGCAACATCTACTAGCACACTAGAATATATACATTCAGGCAGTGCCTTACCATACTGTGTGGTTTTTCAGTTCTTGCTTTGTTACCACCAACAGATTCAATTTATGATGACATCTTCAGAATTAATAACCCATCCAAAGCAATGCTAGAGAGAGCCTGACAGAATACTTTAGAAGTCAAAGCGCAATGCTAGAGAGAGCCTGACAGAATACTTTAAAGTCAAAGCACTCATTTATACCGAATGTTGACATGCTCATGAAGCACCTATGCAAATGTTAGTCATCACAATCCTCATTATCAAGTTGGGACCTTCATGAGTCATGATTCCATGAGGCACTCATGGTGTAAACTGTAAAGTACTTATGGTAGGCAATTCATGATAAAACATAAATAAAGATGTCCTGAGAATGAGTATATATCTAACGTAGGTACATGTTATTGGGGAAACAAAAAGCAATATAGTTAAATAACAATATCAAGAAATGTTCATGGTGACTATATTCTTTATTCAAAGCAACCCATACCACTATCAGTGGCATACATGTATCCTGGTATTGGTCAGGTGACCATGCTCGTCGGTAGCGCATTGCATAGTAAGCACATGCTATGACAAAAATCATGCATGGCCTGATGAATGGCCAGGCACCCCTCTGTTCTGCAAACAATATACCTATGATTTGCGACGATATGATAAGAATGGAACCACAAGATGGTTGAACACACATACCTCCATATCTATGTCTGATTTCTAAGTTTTCACTAACAGATAACAATGAATCAGTGATATTAGAAGGCCACATAATCCATTCACAAGGCTTACATTAATCCAGACAACTTATGCCGACCTAGAGTGAAAGCTAGCTCAACACTTTAAACAAGAAATGTCAACTTGTAGGCATTTCCAATTTTTGACAATCAAACACCCTGTAAATGACAATGTATCGTCAAATGATTATTGTTACAAGAAGTTTATGTTCATTCTATGAGCATTCCAAAACCGACCCGTTCTTTCGGCTTATAGTCATTCTGAATTAGGCATTTACATTTTTTGTGATTTTTGATTCAATAACCAAATCAGATTAGCCAATCCGATCTACTTGATAACTATGCTCCTAATTAAGCTTGATCTTCCAGTAAATCACATTGATAAAAAATAACCAGGACTGCGAAAACATTTCAACATCATGGTCAACCAGTCCTTGACTATACAAACTTGTTCTAACCATACAAATGGATCAATGTGGAAAGATGTGGACCAAACATGCACATGCCTTTACATCAGCAGCTCACAGCTCGATAGATGACTCATTTTCATTGTTCAAGTTTGTAACACTGAGATAAGATCTGCCTAGAATATGGAGAAGATATTGCAACAGTAAACTAAATCAATTGCCATGCCCAATTAACTGGACTCACACTGTTAAATTTGTTACACTTTCATCAAGGTGAGCTTTTGATCATGTCCTTGGTGTAGGAGGCTCAGAATGGCCTTGAGCAAATTTGACTCTTTGGATACAAATCCAAAGGAAAATCCCCCACTCTATCAAATCCTTCTTATCTTCTATCAGCACTCATGGTCTTGGGAGGGACATCTCCTTGATAATGAAGTCAAATGATTGAGTTATGTAGTGTAGGAAAGATTTTGTGTCATTTCCACAATGAATATCTAGGTGAAGGATCTATGTTTTTGATAATTGACTCTCTTGCTAATCTTATCCCTATACATTAACTCTTAGAGATTGAAGCAACAAAAAACATGAAAACAGAAAAAAGAAATGCAAGCAAGATGGTTCACCACAAAAACATATGCCAAAAGACAAAATGAAACAATAATTTAAAAAAATTAAAGTTGTGGGTAGGGAATATAAATTTATGAACCATGGAATAATTGGGTAGGTGGACCTCATGCGGACACGAGTTAGATCTAAATTAAATGACCCCCACTATCCTTTCACAGAATCAGATTCATCACCAGAAAAGGCACATGTACTTCAAAACAATCCAGTGAACCTACCACATCTGGACAAAGGCTCGATCATTCAATTTCAAACAAAAGGAGAAGATATGTCGCGCATCTTTTGAAATATGAAGCACACACTCCAGTGACCCCTTCAATGTCAAAAGGGTATTGAAATTAAACCCACCAGCCAAAATGGAGCAAATTTCAGATTGCGGCAGCTAATCTTGACTGGGCCAAGTGTAGTCATAACCCAAATTTTAAGCACAAACCGACAAAGCAAGAATGCACCATTAAAGCAAGTTCATGGATGACAAAAAGAAGTGTTAATGACAATGAATGATGAGCATCAAACAAATTGTTTTGCAAAACAACTTTAGAGATATAATCTTGCCAATAATTCACCTGATAGAAGTCAATGCTGTTAACAGTAGAACTCTTTTCTCAGTTATCATATTGTATCAGCAGGAAATCATCATATCTAAAAGAAGCAACTCAATAATCCTACTCTTCCATCTCTGGAAGAAAACCTTTTAACAGTCCTATATACAAATCACATTAGATTTTTTTTCAACCAAAGAAAGACAAAGGGCACGAATTATGCTAAGCCTAAGTACAGTTACGATCAACAGCGGTACATTGATACCAATGCTAATTATTCTGAATAGCCAGACCTATGGAAGAGAAATCAGTAATGAAAATTGGAAAGGACAGCATTATAATATCCTAGCATCTATTTCAGACTAAGCAATTGTGAATAACAATTCCAGAGAGAACGGCTAACACAGAATGATACGTTGACAATGGAGCTTAAGAACATA